CTTTTAACAAAATAATTTTGAAATACATATTTCATAAAATTTAATTTTTAAAAATATTTAAATAATTATAACCAAAGTTTAAAATTTTTAATTTTTAAAAAATTAATAAGAGATAAATTATAATAGGACGAAGGTAATACTAAATTTGATTATCGTCTTTGACATTAACATCAATAGCATAATATAAATAAATTAAAAATATTATATAAACATTAAAAAATCTTTACTTGCCAAAGTGGGTAATTATCCACCTAAATTTGTTACAAAAAGAAATAGATAATACTAACTGAATGTTAACATGATTTAAAAAATCTAATAAAAGTTTAAAACGGTGCGTAGAAAAAAAAAAGCTACTAGGCATGCAATATATATTAATACAAACACATACCAAACTTGATAGTGGTCTCTAAATTTAGCACCAATCCCTCAATAAAAATAAATGTAAAAAAATATATATAAACATTAAAGAAACCTTTTTACCTAATCTGTGTATTACCAACAAAATGGGATAGCTTTTACCCTCACTTTCTTTTAGGATTACACAAAAAAGACCACATTCGAAGGCACCAAATTGTAACATCAAAGCAGACATGAAAGTACAAAGAAATTGATGGGTAATTGCCAAGGTGGGCAAAGGCTTGTCGAAATACACTGTTTGTTTTTGTTACTATTATTTAATTTTTTTTATACTAACTATTGAGGTTGATGCAATGAACCAACAACTTGCAAAACCTTTTCGATTGTTTTTAAGTTTTAACGCTGACGACAAAATAGATACCCCAGATTTAATTTTCTTATTTTTTTTCTTTTGATTATGAATTATCCATTTAATCAATGACTGTAGAAAACATTTAACAATTAAAGCATATACGTTGACAATGTTGATTAGTCTAAAATCACCCCCAAAAAAGGGGGTCGAAGTAGGCGAAAGTAGGTTGGGAAAGCAGTTCCCAACATCCGATTAGGGTTGTTTTCATTTAAGCATGCTTAATTCAACCTAATAATGGTTAATTACTTAATATATGTTTAGTGTGAACAGGCTCTCTTCAAGTTCACATTATGTTCCTTTTTGTATTTTCACAAAATAATAATAATAAAAAACCTTAGACAAAAGTCGATTGGGTCAATGTCATTCTTTTGGCCTATACTTGAAAAGATGTGGGTGGTTTAGGTATGATGAAGATGGAGGAAATTGTGGTCGGCAATTTTTTTAAGATTTTATATCCGTTTATAAAATTTTATGTTTTATCGACAGTGTATCAAATAATTATATATAACTGGTAAAATGAGATTAATAAAAAAAATTAAGGAAGAGAGTAAAGAGTGATGGGAGAGTTTGATTATGTGAAGCAAATGAGCATTTAAAAAAAATAAAAGTAGCGATAATGAGAATCCTTAGAGGTTAGTCCACTCCCACTTGGTCTATAGATAGGATGAAGAACAACCTTGATTGACTCCAATCCGTCTTTTAGGGCTCCCAATTTGATGTTTAAATAATACGTACCATTGATTTGTGGGTCAGTCTCACTCACCTTATTTTAAACCCAATAACAAAAGGCTAAAGCTTCAGCATATACTAAACCCCGAAAGAAAACAAAGTTAGGCTCACTTTCTCTTTCCTTTTGTTTATTGTACATCAAAATCAATTTCTTTTTCTTACTGCTTCATTTTGAATTAATCGAACTAACGATATGACCGACATTGTCTCCATAAAAGGTGTGGAAATTTGGACTCAACCGAGACAAAGCAGGTCCTTTCAATGTAACAACTTACACTATGTGGAATCACATCATACCATATTAGTTCAAATATACATCATTGTTTTTCTATCGTGTTCTCTTGTCTGGTCCAATTTTGGAACTGTCCGTCTGGTCCAATTTTGGAACTGTCAACTGTTTAGATTTGAACTCTAAATGTCTGGTTTGATGAACTGGGCTTATGTTTTGGGTATACTACTGGAATAGTCACTTACATTTTATATTTGTATATTTTTACTCACTAAATTAAAAAAAATTAATCATGTACGTTATCTTTATATTAAGTTTTGCTCACCTAAGTTAGCTTTTGTATGATGATAGGTTGATGTGGGTCCATAGTTCATACCTTATGCAGATAGAATTTCACATCGACGATGTTAACGATCAAGTCAATTTCTAATTCATTTACTACATATCTATTATTATAAATACTTCTATATTTATATCGACAAAATATAAATGGTTTAAGACTTTATGTTTAAAGAAACATGTTTGGTCATATTTGAATACATCCGAGAAACACATGACCGAGTTTGACACATACTTAAAAAGCTGTACCAGAAAAATGCCCACATACTCTATTGATGTGCTTTTAACCAGCAATAATTTGAACATGTAGAGATGGAGTAAAGAGAGAAATGAAAAAAAACAAAACTTATAAGTTCTCAAAAAGAAATATAAGCAAGATAAAAACAACAGATTATTTAACTGGAAAGTGGAATTAACTTCTTTGTTTTATATTGGTTCAATGGTATACTCTGTTGACAAATCAAGTACATGGGTTTATTGTTCTCATCTTACATAACATGACATAATCAGAACAACTTGTAGGTGGAGCAGGAGAAGACAAGGAAAGCTGCATTTTGTATCAATTAACATAAAAAAGAGTCTTGTGTTTTGTTTCAGATTTAGACTTTCAGTTACCCTAAAAGCTGTATAGGGACATCATATTTGCATTGTTTTCACCATTGGTATAGGTATTGCTTGAGAAGCAAAGAGACAGTATTAGACTCGAAAAAAATCCAAATAAAGTTTGAATATTAAAAAATAATTTGTCAATTCTATTAACTTGAAAAATGTTTACTCGGTTCAATTGAATACTCATCCTTAAGTGTAGAATATCTACGTAGATTCAATTATTCTTTTTAAAAATAAATTTCTTATTTTTGTAGTTTATTTCCTCAACTTTGAATAATTTCTCATTTCTTCTGTCTCTTTTGTTTTAAGTCCATTTTTATCAAATTTGAACCACATGCACATATATCACTATTGAATACTTATGTAACTTCAATTTCTATTTTTAACAATAACTTTTGTCAATTTATTCCTCAAATTTGTATTTTGTTTGGCCCTTTAACTATTATTATTATTATTATTATTATTATTATTATTATTATTATTTTACAAACTCTTTCTTCTCATCAATTCTTTGAACTATTTATACCCTCACAAATATTTTGTCTTCAAAATCTATTCTTTAAAAACTAACATTATAATTATATTTACAATTTTAGGTGATACTTGATTTATTAAATAACATTACAAATATTACATATGTAAAAAGAATATGAAGATTATTTAAATTGGAGTCAATCTTTACCGTATATATATATATTGGATGGTTAGAGGAAATTATTTAAATTGATACCAATCTTTATCATATATTATAAATAATAAAAATTAAATTTAAACAGAAACTTAAACACCTCGATTTAGTTCAAATTTTATAAATCGACTCGTAAAACATTCAAATAAACTTTTAAAGATACAATAAAACTTATCAATTTATCTAACTCGAAATTTCTTGACTCAACTCGATCATTTTATTTCCCTTGATTTTTCTTTTTTTGAAACACGTCAAAAAAATTATTCTCTCTATATTTTTACTCCTATCTTTTCATTTTTTTCATCGAACCAAAAAAATCCCAAATACCTAATTTGACTTTAAACTGGAGGAAAGACCCGACTGCTGCGAAACAGATACTTTGTAAGCTGAATTAAAAGGTTTAGAACTTTAGAGACCAATTTAAAAATATAAATTATAGCTTGGGCATTGTGATGTAATTAACCCGGTATATATATTATAGTAACCAGAATCTGGTAAATGAATATTGGACAGATGTGAGTGATACAGTGGGATCTTGAGGGCGAGCTGGGAACGAGCAACGTGCATGTTTTAAGATTGAATATGTTAAATTTCTTGAGTCACCTCAATAATTAAAAGGAGGAATGATATTTTTATTTGAGATCTTAGGTTTAAATAATTATATTTATAAGGTATATGTATAATATTAATAATTAAGAAAGCTTATGAATAAATATTGTTTTATAATTATTTCAAACTATTAAAAGAAAAAATATTCATTGTTGTTGGGGGGTCACATTTACCTTACCAATCCTCACTGTTAAATTGTTTCCAGATTTCAACCATCTACTTTATTTCATTTCTTTGTTGCTCATACGGATCACATGAATAGGTTGTAGAATAAAATATAAGCACGATGACATTTCTTTGCCGCTTTAATTTAATTAGTGTAAGTATTTTAATTCTTAAATTTTTACTACGTTTTCTTCAGTCTTGAATTTTTATGATTTGTCAAATTAAAACAATTATGATGAAATATACTCGCTATTTTGTCCGTATTAGAGTGTTAATGTTAATTATTTTATTATTTTTATCATGTCATGAAAAAATTCAACAAAAACCTTGATACCAACATTTTAGTATGAATAAATAAATTATTTATTTCAATTTTATAATGATTGTGAATATTCAAGATGTAGCAGTAAAGATTCAAGGTAAATAACAGAAATAATGGGTAAAAGAGAGGCAGTACTCTCTGAGAGTTCATTGATAAAAGCTGTAATATTCTCAATGGAGAACCAGCTCTATTTATACAAAGGTAATTTTGAGTATTGGAGGAGTTATAAAGGTCTAACAAACCTAACCATTTCTCTACCAGAACTCGATCTTTAACAACATGCTAATATCCTGATATGCAAAGCACTTAACAATGATATGTAAAAAGTACAAAATAATTGACGTGCTAAATATATACACCGGTCACCGGGTAATTACATCGCAATGTCCCAGCTGCGATTCATGGAAATTAAACATGAATAAAAGAGTTTTAGAAAATCATAAATAAATAAAGATGAACATGCAAATTACACTGGAACAAAATTAAATAAATTAAACAACAGCAAAGTCCACGCCAATCATTCACCTAATCTAAATCTGATCTTTTACAACAACATTCAACAAACGTGGTAGTCGCCGTCGGTGAAATGGCTTTCCACCCCTTCATCTTTGCCGGCAAGTTTATTTTTCCGATGAACGTTGTCGATACTAGTTTCCTCCGGTCCTGCAGGTAAATTCAAGTCGAAGTCACGTTGACTTTGGCTCGATGATTTAACACCATCGCCACCGCTGTTATTGTTGCTGCTGCTGCCATTGCCGGTATCGTAGTGGCATCGTTTATGTCCTCCCAAGGCTTGACCCGAAGAAAACGTCTTGTAACAGATCGAACATGTATGAATCTTGCAACCTTGGTTGTTCGCCACGGGAGGAGGTGAATTTTTAGTCGTTGTGGCTATGGCAGCAGTGGAGAATTTATCTTCTGCAGGAGCGGTAGTGGTAGGGTGTTCGTCAGCTCCAACGACAAGTTTCCGGTGACTGGACTTGTGTCCACCTAAAGCTTGATAAGTTGGAAACCCTTTGTTACAAACTTTACACTTGTAATGATTGAAGGAACTTTTTGCGGTGGTAGAAGTGGTTCCCTGAGCCAGCATGAGAAGGCAAAGAGCTAAGTATTCTTCTTCTGTAGGTGGGTTTTCAGTTCTGGGTCGTTTCGTTCTTTTCCTCTTCATCCATGGCTCAACACAGTGGAGCTCCACTATGTCATGGTGGCCGAGCAGTGGAGGTGCTGAAGTTGGAGAATTCAACGTTTCAAGAGCCATTGTAGAGACGTTTTCAATGTTTTTTCTCTCTCTCTCTTGATTTCCAGTGAGTGTTTTGAGTGAAGGAAGGAATGGTTTTTATATTAGAAGGAAGAAGGATTATAAAAGAAGGATGAGAGGAAAGTGCTTCATAAGTGGAGAGAAAGTTCAATAGTCTAAGATACATTAGCAAGTCGTCGTTGATTGGGCGAAGTGTTGATTGGGTTACTATAGTTTATAAACAAAAGCAAATGGGGGACATAGTACCCAATGGACTTGTCTTCAAATTCGTGACTTAATTACACGACTGTCTTGCTCTTTTCTTGCATTAATCTGAACAAGAACCATCTATAGGTGAGTTCTGGGACCCATACAAATTTTTATGTTAGGAAGGAAATTTTAATTTTTTTAAAAAAAATAATTTTATAATAGGTAAAAATACAAAAAAATATTTAAAAGAATACGATAATTTAAAATTGACAGGAGTTATCGTTGATGAGTTGGTAAAAATATACAGATATTGTGTAATGAAAACACGAGAGACGGTGTGTTTAGCGTGTCACAGTAGATGACTTTTGCCTTTTGGTCTGATTTTGATAGTGTGGGGTGTCACTCGGTAATCGCGGCTACGACTTTTGCTAGTCGGTTGAGTGAGTCATCCCGAAATTACTGAGGTGGGCCATCAGTCCATGAACCGGTGACTACAGCAAACCCACGAGAAATTGTGCAATTGGGTAGGCCCCTGTTCGACGTGGACGATGGACCACTCACCATCACATTAATTAGCTTTAGCTTATCTAAAAGATGGGGTTATTTAACTCTTAACCTCGGCCATTATCTCATCATAATAAGTGATAAGCACAAAACTTTTATTACATGATAATCTAAGATGTTAAATCTCAATATTGGAACTTTCAAAGTGAACGTTTGACTGTTATACTTGAATAAGTAGGGAATTTGCTAATTGGTAGCTCATAGAGGTAGAGAGTAATGACCTGATTGACCAAGTCATGTTGTTGTTTGATGCCAACGAGTCAATGATTCATTGGCCGGCAGCCGGCCACGTTATTGTCCCAAGAGCACTACTGCAGTGCACCACATGGCTGGCAGCTATGTATTGCTAGTGTCGAAACAAGGACCCCGATCGACATAGGCAAGGTAAGGTTTTTGAGCAACTGAAGTAAAGAGGTCAACTGGTCAAGCAAAGACGAACATTATTAAGTTATAAGGACATAATATATATGGAATCATAGTAAAAAAGTCTTACAGATTTGTCACAGGCCCCCACAGATATCCTACTTTGCACTGCAACAAACCCAACATTCTCCATTGCTCAGCTGAGATCAAACCGACATTGAAGAAAACCTGAAACGAGCATATTAAACCAGTTGTAATTAAACAACTCTCATAAGAAAACAAGGGTAAGAGAGCTTAAATTTAAGGGCAAGGAGTATTTAATGTACTTGGGTCGGCTTTGATGATCATAGCAGTGCCTCCAAAATTGCAAGTCCCTCCATTTCTCTTTGTCTCCTGCCATTAATTGTTGAAAGCATAAGAAGCATGAGCAACAATGGTGTCCGGGTAGAAACAGTTCCCATTTGGCTCAAGCTCTTTACAATCAGCGCTGCCTTCACCACAAGCGTAGTCCATTGCTTCCTGTGGAGTCTCGGAAGGAACACTAGGCTTAGCCACACGCCAAAGCTTTTGCACCCCCTCCATCTGTGGTGCCGGTGAGTGTCGTCATAGGCTGGGTTACAAAGAGGCAAATGAAAGCCTGTAGGTGAGCTGGCAGGCACAAGCGGCGGAGGCATTGAAAATGGAGGCGGTGAAACGGTGGCGTTTTGTGGAGGATGAGGCTTTTTGGGTACTTTGACAGGCGTAGAAAAGCAAATAGATGGGAAGGCTGAGATCTTTCTGCTTAAGGGGTTGTTCACTTGTTGACTCGGGACAACCACATTGACCTTTGTAAGCTCAAAAGATCCAAACTTTTTCATGAAATCCAAGTGGGAGGATAGTAAAGTCAAGCTTTCATGCAAAGAGGAAGATAGATTTGGAGGTGCAACAATGGAGTAAGTGGAGTTTGTGTTTTGGAAGAACAACAGAGGTTTAACGACATTCTTAGCCAAACCATCACATAAAAGAGCAGAGCTTTGCATCAAACAACTGGAAGAAAAAACGGCTGAAACCTTGATATCTTTATCTAGACCCCACTTTGTTCGAGAGTGATAAATGTTGTAAGAGATGTTAATAAAATACCCAAACTTTCTTCATCATCATTTTGACAGAGAATAGTTTCACCCACAAGAATGGTAGCGATTTTGGTTTCTAGAAAGTGAGGTAGAACACGGAGCCTGAGCCAACTCTCAGCCTTCGAAACTGTAACCCCTCGTACCGATGCGGATAGCCCGATCCGATCTGGAGTGTCACATTAGGGTTACTGGAGCGACCACCGTAAAAATAGATAAAAATTTAAAACTTTTTATCAAAACGTAAACTTATAAAATCATTTATCAGTATTCGGAAGTAAAATAGATTTTCAGACTTGTATATAAAACAAAATACAATCTACATTCCCCCTAATCACATGTACCATACTCTGCAAACAACGCCAAAAGAGCTCCCTTACTGAATTCGATAGATGCACTGGTACAAGTCTTTAACCTGCAATGGTGAGTAATAGAGTGAGCTTCGGAAAGCTCAGTAATACAAAACTACCAGATGATGCTACATGACATGTAGATAAATGGGAAGCCATAATTTCCTCATTGAATCAAACATATACCAATTTTGGAATAATATAGGGTTCCATTAGTAGTTCATCAAGTAGAAGCCATGAATCTCAGTTCATAAGAAACCTTTCATACATCCACGTTTTCATAAGGTCGAATAGGATGTCTAGTGTGTTCCATCAGTACGATAAAATCATAATAGGTACACTAATCAAATGATAGTTCAGTAAATCTCATAAAATCATAATGAAGTTTATCTTTTGAAACTCGTAGTTTAAACCATTCTCTTGTACACCAGCCGCAGTTCCCAGAACTGTGTCCATAGGGCTTACCTTAAGCATACAGCGAAAAGGAAGCCAACCTAAGGATAGACTTTGGGGCCTGTATCCTTAAGTCCGTAAGTCTATAGGGCTTACCCTAAGCACACAGCAAAGGAAGCTAACCTAATGGAGCATCTTGGGGCCTGTGAGCCTACCCAAGAGTCATATTAGGTCCGTAAGGTTTATCAGCTCGATCAGAGCTATACTCTGTAATTCAATCCATCCAAAATCAGTATTTCAAAAATACAATTTATGCAGTAAGCATAAATTCCATAAATCCGTAATCATCGTTATCATATATCAGTGAAAACCAATAATCATATATCAGTCATAGTCTATAAATCATCACCAGTAAGTGGTATATCAATAAGCAGTAAACCATAGATTTCAGTGTACTATATTTCAAAACAGATAAAACAATTAAATAGTACTTAGGGAACACAATAGAGAATCCAAGTGTTTTCAGAGGCCATTGTAGTTATCAGTATGGATAACACGAAACTTATGAAATTTGATCTGATTCTAGGAACGAGGTCATATTAAAGAGAATCGATTAATAACCAATCTAATCAGACATTTAAGGTTGATATTTCGAATCCCTCTATGATTCATATATCTCAGGAAAGTGCTCAAGTATAACCAGAGTAATTTGAGCTGATAAAGTAAGAACGAAGATTCAGGGCACTTACCATCCATGTCAATCGATCGGACTATCAACAACTCCTAAAACTGATGTATTTCAACTGGTCAATTCATTGCCCTTCCAGGGTATTCACACTTTAATACCAACAATTCTTGTTTATAAATCATCTTCAAAATCATCGCTGAATACATCTAAAGGAAGCAATAGAGAAACCAAATAATCTTTATTTCTATCTATATGGAAACAATATCACGAATTGTCAACGTATTTATTCTTGGTTCATAACCCATAGTAATCATACATCATGCAATATCATTGGAATTCTCAGACTCATTCAATCACTTACTAAATTCTCAGTCATTAAAGTTACTTGGTTAATTTAGTAGTCAAATCAATATCCCAGTTACTTCAGAGTATTTCCGAGTAATTTAGATGCTTATGCGTTTCGGATACATGTTGTACTTCCACTTAGTTCTCTTTGGTCATTTACTAAAATCATTATTTTGTGTTCGTGGTTGATTTATCTCACGAATATCCACTTCTTAATATCGAATGCGCTCTAACGTTGAGCTGAGCCGAGTACTTCCATAATTATCATCAATCCCAATTTGAGAAGATGAACAAACATTCCAGTGGTATTTATGCCATTCATGTACTGACATAGCATTAACGTTGGTCGACCGACTTAAACTATGTTCCATAACTTAAAAAAAAAACAATGCAACATCCATGTTTATTTGGATTCCTTAATGAATCCAATTCATTTACTTATCCTTGGTCATAAGGGTATTTTGGACATTTTTATTCTCAATGTTCTTCCATTCATTTCAAAGCTTGAGGATATTCATTCATTCCTGGCTTTGTGATATTCTTTAATCATTTCCATTACATGGGTATTTTGGTCATCTTACAGATTCAGTGTATTCCAATTATTTCCTTCCATCTGATCTTATCATTTAATTCAAACGTATCATCTTTTCCAGTCCTTTCGAACAATTCTGACAAAATAGCACCCTTGATAATTTATTTTTCAAGTATTTACTCATAACTCGAAGATTTCCATGTTAAAAGTCTTTTCAAACATTACTAACGAATTATTAGGAATTTCCATACAAAAGTAGAATCTCAACCATTAAATCAATAATTTATTGGTTTAATTATAAATTCTTAGGTTACATGTTCGTTCAGAGTCAACTTTGACTATTTTTACCTCTCAAGGGTATTTTCGTAATTTTGTAACCAGATAATTTCGGTTTTATCTCTTAACGAAAATAATATAATTTGGAAATCCTATAATTAATTATTTTCCCGAACCTTCTCTGATCTTGAAATAATTCCTTAACAGACTTCTAGTATCTTGCACAAACCCTCTTGGGGTTAAAAACCGGTTATCCAAAATTTCCAAGTAAAACTAACATTTCTTATGCACATCAGTAATTATATCGGATCAATATGTCTTTTCAGAGTTATTAAC